GTTAGCAGAGGCTAAGGCTATGCTATGTGTAAATGTAGGCTTCATTCCGGCAAAACACTATCGCTTTTGTCCACAGGGTCGCCAAAATCAACTCAAAATGAAAGTTCCTTGTAGGGGCTTTAAATCCAAACTTGAACAAACAATTGAGCACACAGCAGCATTTAAAAAACTAAAATGACAGAACCATCTTTGGAAAAAATTAATTTAATGTTTGCTTTGAGTTTTTAGTTTAGCCCATGTCCCGTTGGCGACCTATACTGCAGCCAGCCACCAGGGGGCAATCAAGATGTTTTGGCTTCACTTTTAGGAAGCTTTCATGTTGTCTCTTTATTATACAGTCTACACTTAACTCTGAGGTCACTGAGCTGGCGGCTAGCAGGTAACGGTGTCAGCTCCTTTGATAGTGCTTAATAACAGCAACATTGTTGACATTGACACTAACATGCACACACAGTCAAACACACCAGTTCACCACAACAAACCACAGAGAAGCTCAGATTACAGCACGCAGAGGGAGCGTGACTTCATCCTCTGCTCAGGACATCGTTACTCCATAGGTCTGGGAGATATAATGACTATGTACGATATATTGATACATTTTCAGGCAAGATATAGATTTAGACAACACAGTTTATATTGATATAGGGTCAATTTGCGTTACATAACACATACCAGTGTTCATCTCTCCTCTGCAAGGCTCCGCCCCTCACACACACTCACAGTTTCTCCATCAACACTCAGTGAGACACAGAGCTGCTCCTCTGTTTAATCTGTCTGTTCATTAGTCTACAGTGAGACATCGGTCTGTATGTTGCACAAGCTACGCCGAATCAGTCTGTGAGATGAGAGTACTGCAGTAGCACACGTACAACACTGTGGGCCTTTTCCTCTGTAACTTTTGGCCGCCCTGAGCCATGCTGTGCTGATTTGCATTTCCATTATTAGTTAAGACGCACCGAGCTGCGCCACAGATGGACTTTCTTCAGAGTTGGGCCAAAAGCCGGGACACCCGCACTCAGCAGACTGCAGCAAACCCCCGACGACCCTGTTTCTCCCCCTCAAACACGCCCTGTGTGTTGTGAGACTCTCCTCACCTCTGTCTGCAGGAGACCAGAGAGAAAGGCGTTTTTAAAAGTCTGTGTGTTCAGCTTTCAGTACGTCTGTAGCTTCTTCCTGAATCTCTGTCGTTTGGAGTTTAGTTTCTCTCCTGCGTTCTGTTTTTACTTCAGATATCTGCTTTATTTCACTGTTTCATGTTCACTATCAGCTGGATTAGACGACATTTCCTTATTTTGCTGCTTCACAATAAAAGGTTTTTTTGTCCACATCGCCCAGCCCTATTATAACTTTACATAGCTGCGCAGATGTTTCTCTTGACTGTTTCCAGCTCTGGAATAAAATGAAATGATGATCAAGCATTTGCTGTCAGGGGTCTTAATTCACTCTGTGCAAAGTACTTTGTGTCTCGCTGTACAAATAAAGTTGATGCGTGCTGGTCGGTAACTACACAGCTGGAACATTAATAAAACGGCGCCTGCTTTTGTCTGTTACCTCTGCCTGTGTTTGTGTCTGCGTGCTAAAGCCAGATCGAGCTGAAGCTTTATTTCCCCAGGCTCTCTCTGCTCCGCTCAACACACAGGGAGCTAATCAATACTGATGCATGCACTCCTCCAGCTCCGGAAAAACAGCTGGGAGAGTCAGGACGAGGTGTATCTGTCCTTGAAAATAAATGATCGCTTATTCAAGTGGCCGTGCAGCAGGCTAATACATATATGTATTTTTGCATTAATGACCTCAGGCGGTGTTTAGCATTTTGGGACGCTTGGCTGTGATGTTTTAATTGAGAGCGATTTGGAATGAAAGCAGCAGGAGACTGAGCAGTAATTTGTGGATTAGAGGCCAGTATTGAGGGCTGTAAAGGTGGGAGCCACAGGGAGGGAAAGAAGGAGATGAAACATTCCTTTGACCTCAGAGTAACATTTTAACCAAGAGTGATTTTCTTCTTCTCGCAGTAAGAGCAAGTGGACGGGGAACAAAGTGATTCACCGAGACGCTGGGATGTGAATTACTTCTCAAAGCTGCCCACAGTGGGGAAATGGGGAGCAGCAGCAGTGGCGCTGACCAGAGCAGGAAGGTCAGTCCAACATGCTGCAGCCTGGAGGGAGGAGGGTTGAAGAGTTGAGGCCGGGTGGAGCATCGACCGGGTTGCTGCAGGGAGGAGGGAGCGAGTCACTGGGCAGTATGAGAACACACGATGGGATTTCACAGATGTAACTATTGCTTAGGAACGAGCTCAGAGCAAAATCTGGTTCATACGTGGTGACGACTTATTCACAACAAATAGTTGAATTACAAAAAAACATCAGGCGCACACATCTATCCAACATTGTTTATTCTGAGGGTTTTGTTTTTTTTTTTTTGTTTTTTTTTTTTTTGGGACTTGACAGATGAAGACATGAGACTGGAGTACAGCTGAAATGCATTTCTTTTTCCATTTTCTCAACAACAATAAGAAATACGCCAACTGGCACAGCACTGAAATCCAGAGACAACAGTTTATTCATCACGTCGTGGGTCGAGTGATGTGCAGGAGGTGTGGACAGCATTAAAACAACATTGTGAACACTGAGGGGGAAACAAAAGAACAAAAAACATGCTCAGGCTTCATTCAACAGTCCAAATGCATGTGTGTCAAGAGAAATGCTGAATGTTTTGAGATTTGGGAAGTGAATTCAAGCCGGTGATTTTTTTGCTGGTAATTATTATTTTGTCTAAACTAAAAGATCCATGTAAATCCGTTAAGGCAGGATGTGGCCACGTGATGCTAAATTAATTTAAGGCTAATGTGTACAGACTTAATGAGAAAGTACTCGCAACTGTTCTCCCCATTTTATTTTGTAGCCCCTGTATAAGGATGAACATTAACAAATTGCAAGAGACAGGACTTTAAGCACATTATAACACAGACTAATTAATTTTTAGCTGATAACCTTTCAAACTGTTAAGTTACTTCAGGCAGCTACAGTCCAACAACATTAGCATGATGCTGACTTTATTAGTCATCAATAAAAATGAAAATTCAATATTTTTGCATTACTCAGTTGCCAGTTTATTAGGTACACCTAGCTAGAAATAATCATAGACTGTATGTAAAGATGGACAACATGACAGCTCCCAAAAGTGAAGCCAAACATCTAGATCGCCCCCTGGTGGCTGGCTGCAGTACAGGTCTTAAACCCCACTCCCTCTGCGTTAGTGGATGCACATGGGCCAAACTGAAAAATCAAAGTACACGTCCAATATTTTTCTAAAGATGGATTCTCTCATTGTAGGTAGTTCTCATCGCACTGGTTTTATCAAGTTTTTCTTTTAAGTTTGGTTTTAAATTTGCTTAAATTTGATGTTTGACGCCATAAAAATGGGGTTTGACGTCATGACTGACAGCTGTCTGTGCAAACTGGTGTGCTCACGCTCAATAGTGCTGCTCAGGATTGGTTGAATGGATGTATGTGTGGGAAATTGATACCGCTGAGATCACAGACACTGGCTCCAAATGATGTTAAGATGGCAGCTCCCTTAACCGGGATGTTTTGGCTTCATTTTTGCACAGTGTGAGGAGGTGGAGACGCATTATTCATTTTTATATACAGTCACTGGAAAATGTAGTTTAATACAAAGGGGCGGTGCAATGTTTCGGGCTGCTTTACACCGTATGTTTTTAATAACATTTTAGGTCTACGTGTAAAAGCCCAGCTAGAGACAAGAGTTGAAACTTAGCAATGGATATAAACTCTCATCAGTCATCGCTATCAGTCCCAAACTCTGTGCTGGAACATCCCTATCCAAAAGAAAAAGATGTCCAGGCCAAGACTCCCTCTTCTGTGCGCCGGCCGATTTGATCAGTCTCAATAAACAGATATCTGTATGTGAAGGCAGACACATTTTTAAAAAGCTAATATCAAGCTAACTTGTCAGACATATCCAGTTGGTTCTGAGATTGCATATCAGCCAGTGCAGTCTGCCTTTTCACACACTGTTTACCTGCCATTCAAACTGGAGTGGTCAATACTGGTACTCAGACTATAAACAGAGACCAGAACACCTCAGATACCAAAATCTTGTCCCATGGCTTACAGATTCTGCAGAATCTGTTTACTGAAGTTAGTGTTGGCATTTAGAGTCTGCAGTTTATGTTGCATTGGGTTATAACAAGTGTTCCACCTACGCACATTGATATAAACATGGACTAAATGTTAGAAACACTTCCCTATATGATGCAGTACAACTCAACACCACAAACTACAGCCTCCAAAATGAGCGCAAAATTAAATCATCTCCTTAAAGCAGTTCTCAGACAAACTGAACACTATAATCTTCCTGAAAGAAGCTGTTACTGCAGGGCTGGATTTCTTTAAGCTAGGTGTACCTAATGAACTGGCAACTGAGTGTAGATCACGTTCAAATGGCTACGGTGTCACATACTGATCATTGTGAAGCATCCTTGGTCCAATCAGTGCACAACTTTTAGTGAGATAACTTTGAGATTTGAAATGAGAGACACAGATGTGGACTGTTAAATGAAAAGCAAGCAAAGCACTGTTGAAGCAACATGTGGGGGAAAGGCATTTCAAAAGGCAAAAACTTCTTCCTCATTTCCAACTATTCAACTGACACTGTATTTTGTAGTTAGCAGTAGGGCTGCCACTAACGATTATTTTCATTGTCGACTAATCTGTCGATTATTTCTTCGATTAGTCGACTAATCATTTAATCGAAAAATGTGTTAAAATGTTGAAATATGTCGGTCTGTCTCGCCCAAACCCCAAAATTACGTCATCTAATGTCTTGTTTCATACTCACGCCAAAGGGTTTTAGTTCACTGTTACAGGAGAGTGTGTAGAGCTGCCAATATCTGAACTTAAGAAGCTGCAGTAAGGGTATTTCGGGGTACTTTTATAGTACTTTTCTATGAAAAATGACTCAAACTGATTAGTCGACTACTAAAATAGTCATCGATTATTTTAATAGTCCATTAGTCATCGATTAGTCGACTAATCGTGGCAGCCCTAGTTAGCAGTAATGTGGCACAGTTAAATATCAGGGTTATTACTGTGGATCAGATTCTACTTAGTCACCAGGAATGGCTATGAAGCTGTTATTACTCTGAAGTTCATATCCTTCTCTTCCATCTTCTCAACAGACCTGAGTTAAATAAGGGTTATCAAAGCATTGTGACAGACAGGAACCACTGGAGCTGTCCCAGATGTGGTTAGATGTGGCACACTAACTGCAGGATGAGACATAGCAAAGCCCATGATTGATGGACAGGGAGACACGTCTTTTTAACATCGGATAGCTTTTAAAGTGAAAGCATCGTCTTTGTTTTTGTACATGACCTCCCATTCAGAGTCTGCAACCCAGACACATCCTGTTGGTTTCCTGTGAGACGCTTTCAATCACTCTGCTCGCTAAAATAACTTAACCAGATGACTGCAAGTAAACAAGGGGATGAGTGTTTAAAGCAGCCAGAGCTGATTTCTCATTGGGGGAGTTTTAAATAACAGTGGGATTGTTTGGGAGCACACCTGGAGAGACAGAAAAAACAAAAATATGTGGCACCATTTTGTTAGTTGCAGTATTCTCTCATTTTACATTGGTGGAACATTTGGAGCATTACGTTGTCTTTAGCGCCCTGAAATGGGAGGATCATGCCCCAAAAATAAAGGCCGAACATTTTCCCAGATGAAATGCTGAAATATTAAAATGTGTCACCGTCCAAAGTGTTTTTGAGTGCATGTTAACAACGACCAGTCGTGGCTCCTTCTCATGCAGTTTGCTGGTTGTGGTTTGTTGAGACTTTGCTGTTGTTTGCACCACAAACGGTTTGAATACATTCTGTTATTAGTCCATCTGTCTCCACACGTACGAGCTCTCCGCCGGGAAAACTCCGAGGTCACTTCTCCTCGTGACGACCCTCGTTATCTACAGACAAATAAAACCTCTTGTTTTTCCACAGACATGTTCATATATCTTTTATAAAATAAATCTTATATTTCCAAGTATACAATAATAAAATGTTGCACTCTGCAGAAAAAAAGGTAACAGGAAACTCCATATATACACATAGTATATTATACTATTTTGGCAGACGAGAACATGGACAAGTTCAGCATTGTAAACAGCTCTTTACTCTCATTCGTGACGTTTGTGTCCCCTTGTTTTCTTCTTCCACTCCCTCTGTCCTGTTACATTCATAACTCCAAAAAAATTGTGCTTTAAGAAATCTCTTTCAACAATCCAAGGGCCCCCGTCTGCTGAGTAGAAGTGCACCGTCTCTGAACAGCAGGTCAATGTCTTAAACGTTAACGTGGCTGGTAGTTCACTCGGCTCTCCCAGCTCACCCAGGAAATGAGACGGGGAAGGGAGGGCGATGAACTGATGCGTTAGGATTTATGTCTGCCACTGATGATCACCAGCGTTTCTACATGTGATCCCTTTTAACATTTGCCCAAGTCAGGCTCTCGCTGGGTTTTAAGATCTGGTATTTTTATGTGTGCACACTCAGTGTGGGCTAGGCAGCATCAGATGTGTAGCAAATGTTTATGATGGTTCAGACTCTTCCAGCTTTCAGTACAGCTTTAAACATTTTGAGACTTAGAAATAATGACAGCAATTTTCCAAACTTGTATAAACTTTGTGATGTCAACTTGGGAAGGATTTGTGTCTTTAAGTAGTGGTGCCACTTTATTGATGATTACAAGGCAGAAGTGTAAGAGCTTACAGCTGTGCTTGGGGTACAGGAATGCACACGATGGAATGTGGAAAAACACTGTCTCGTGTAGAGCGATGATGCCACAGAGTGGAGAGCAGGAGCTTTGGGTTTTGAGCTCAGGAGGCAGGAACAGAGTCGAGGTCTGAATGTGGGTGCCAGGAGAGCACCAGAGTGGGACTGTGGGTCTTTAGTTGTCCTCATCGGTGAGCTCCTCCTCCGCGACGGCCTTCTCGGGAATAGCCTCGAGGCTGCGTCGGCTCTTAGATTCAGAGCCAGTGGAGCCGCCTGCTGATCCTCCTTTACTCAGGTTACAGGTGAGCGCAGCATAGTGGATCTGCTTGAGGTTCTCCTGGACTTCATTCCTGGCGTGTTTCAGTAGGTCTGCCTGACCCTGAGGGGATAAAGACACATCAAAGAGTTAGAGATTAGTTTCTCAAAGACCATCAGAAACACTGAGCTGCTGTGGAAGAAGGTGTTACTTTAATAATGCCATGGTAGTGTGCTGTCACTATGATGCACAGCGTACTATTAAGTTTTTATCATGATTTTGGACGACATACTATACTATGACTTTTTTATGCAGTTTTGAACAACATACTATACTATGACTTTTTTTCATGATTTTGGACGACATACTATACTATGACTTTTTTATGCAGATTTGGACGACATACTATACTATGACTTTTATGCAGATTTGGACAACATACTATGCTATGACTTTTTTATGCAGATTTGGACAACATACTATACTATGACTTTTTTATGCAGTTTTGAACAACATACTATGCTATGACTTTTTTATGCAGATTTGGACGACATACTATGCTATGACTTTTTTATGCAGATTTGGACAACATACTATACTATGACTTTTTTATGCAGTTTTGGACGACATACTATACTATGACTTTTTTTCATGATTTTGGACGACATACTATACTATGACTTTTTTTTCATGATTTTGGACGGCATACTATACTATGACTTTTTTCATGATTTTGGACGACATACTATACTATGACTTTTTTATGCAGTTTTGAACAACATACTATACTATGACTTTTTTCATGCTCTTTGGGACAACATACTATACCATGACTTTTTCCATGATTTTGGACAACATAATGACTTTTTTAAGCTATTTTGATTTTGGACGACATGCTGTACTATGACTTTTTTTGTTTGTTTGTTTGTTTGTTTTTTAAATTGACAATATACTATGGCTTTATTTTTTTTTTTTCATGATTTTGGATGACATACTTTACTATGAAGTTTTTTCATGGTTTTTGACGACATGCTATACGATCTTCTTCTAGACCAAGACCCGCTCATGCTCACAGCAGGAGCAGAACCTGGAGACGAAGAGAAGTTAGTGTGCCAAACAGAAGGTTTGCAACTAACTTAACAGCAACAAGGAGAACCAAGTTGAGTTAGCACCCCAGCGTCTAACTCTGCAAGGACCCCGAGCAACTGGCCTCCTTGGATCTGCACCTCCGTAACAAGGACATAGCAAAGACTGCACCTGGAACGCCAGCTCACATAAGCAGCACACCACGAAGCAACTCTTCCCTCCATCCATTCAAGGAGTGGTATAGCGTTATTGCAGTTTCCAGGCTATGCAAGACTGTTTTACTTTGTCAATTGTGATTTAATGCTGTTTATTGAGGGTTTTTTTGTGGTTGTTTACACTTAGCTTAAGCAAAGCCAACTAACCAATAACCTAAGTGATGTTAGTTTGCTAATGCTTTTCACAGTCTTGCATGCAACTAAACATCCTCTGTACTACCCTTTGCAACACATATCGCAAACACATACTCATTCACTAATTGGCTTTCAACAGAGCGACACCCAAAGAAGCAACTCAAAGTTCTTGCTTCTTTTCTTTTCTTTTGTCTTTGTCCTGACCACACGGCCAGACAGACCCTCCCCTGATCTTAAGTCATCTTTGATTTAGCCATCTTGTAGTTTTCTGTTGTCAGCCAATTTGTTTTGTAGGCCAGATAGCGCTTTGTTTCACACACACACACACACACACACCTACCTTTTGTCTCCATCTCTCTCACATATAGACACACATATATATATACACCCATGCTTGTATATAATTAAGGGTTTGTGTGTTTTGTTGCTTTGCTTTCTTTGTGAATAAATATAATTCTTTGGAATCATACCTGCTGTCTGTTTAATATTGCACAAGAGCGAATGAATAGTCAACCTCTGCTATGTTAAGAACTCCAAAATCCTTCAACCTTCAACCTTTACGGTAATTAATTTACCTATTAATTAGTTATTAAAACGTTTCAACAACTTTAACTGATACCATTAACTGGCTATTTTTACCTTTTCGGGAATGGTGCACCACAAGGTGATTTGATACAAAATAAATCACATTATTTAACATAATTAATAGTTATTATTAAAAATTAGTTATTACCAATAGCCATTTTGGTACTTTAATTGGAGATCTATTACGATATCTGCCCAGTTTTAAGGCTTAGATCCCATTATTGATACCCCTGGGTGAGGGATAATCCCATAAGTATGTTGCCGAAAATTGAGAAAAAGTCATAGTATAGTATATTGTCCAAAATCTTAAAAAAAAAAGTCATAGTATAGTATGTCGTTCAAAATCACGAAAAAAAGTCATAGTATAGTATGTCGTTCAAAATCATGAAAAAAAAGTCATAGTATAGTATATCGTCCAAAATCTTTTAAAAAAAAAGTCATAGTATAGTATGTCGTTCAAAATCATGAAAAAAAAGTCGTAGTATATCGTCCAAAATCTTAAAAAAAGTCATAGTATACAGTAGTATATCGTCCAAAATCATGAAAAAAAGTCATAGTATAGTATAGTATGTCGTCCAAAATCATGAAAAAAAGTCATAGTATAGTATGTCGTCCAAATCATGAAAAAAGTCATAGTATAGTATGTCGTTCAAAATCATGAAAAAAAGTCATAGTATAGCATGTCGTCCAAATCATGAAAAAAGTCATAGTATAGTATGTCGTCCAAAATCATGAAAAAAAAGTCATAGTATAGCATGTCATCCAAATCATGAAAAAAGTCATAGTATAGTATGTCGTCCAAAATCATGAAAAAAAGTCATAGTATAGTATGTCGTTCTCAAAATCATGAAAAAAAGTCATAGTATAGTATGTCGTTCAAAATCATGAAAAAAGTCATAGTATAGTATGTCGTCCAAAATCATGAAAAAAAGTCATAGTATAGCATGTCGTCCAAATCATGAAAAAAGTCATAGTATAGTATGTCGTTCAAAATCA